TCTTTAGGCCAGTCAATGTGCTCTTTGGCAAATTGTAACCTTTTCAGCACGTCTTTTTTTTCAACAGTGGGACTTTGCGGGGGCTTCTTGCAGATAGCTTGGCTTCACATAGGCGTCTTCTAATTGTAACAGTCCTCACAGGGAACTTTACACCTTCTTTTCATCTTCCTGGAGCTGATTGTTGGCTGAGTCCTTGCCATTTTGGCTATTCTTCTATCCATTCGAATGGTAGTTTTTTCGCTTTCTTCCACGTCTTTCAGGTTTCGGTTGCCGTTTTAAAGCATTTGCGATCATTTTAGCTGAGCAGCCTATCATTTTCTGCACTTCTTTATATGTTTTTCCCCTCTCCAATCAACTTTTTAATCAAATATATGAATTCTAATAAAACAAATCGGGTCAACATAACGGTTATGGCAAAACAAAATTCTTCAATAAACAGATGCATCCAAAATGAACATTTCCGGCATGTAAATGTCTATAGATGACATTGCACTGGCTCAGCCTCCTATGTGCAAGAGTCCTCTGAGACATTTTTCTTTTTTTAATTTAATGCTCCTGAACACGGCCTGATTTCAGCCACATGTCCATGCACATTGTGTCGTTTGCATCTGTATTTTAGATGAGCGTTCAGGGGCATGAAAGAACAAAAATGCCCCAAACCTGTATTTGGAGAGGATCCTATTGGCATCGTTTACATGCAAATTCCTGTAAGCAATTCATAAAATTAAACTAATTTTTATTAAAGTTTTATAATCCCTGGTCTCCTCCCTGGTCTCCTCCTCACAAGCACGTCTGCAAGACTTCTCCAGGTCCTCCCCCATCCTCTGGAACTCACTACCCCAATCCATCAGACTGTCACCTTCCCTCCTCACCTTCAGGCGCTCCCTGAAAACCCACCTCTTCAGGGAAGCCTACCCCACCCTCACCTAACTGCTGCTCTCCTTCATTCCTCCTACCACTCCATCCCCCACAGCCACTTCCTCCTGTACCACTACCCCCTCCCTTATAGATTGTAAGCTCGAAAGAGTAGGGCCCTATAACCCCTCGTGTGCTGCTTGTAGGTGCTGTAATGTTTCATGTATTGTCCCCCCCTCTATTTAACAGCGCTGAGCAAACCCTTTGGCGCTATATAAACGAGATGTAATAATAATAATAATAATCATTTTTAATATATTCTAACCAATAGAATGATTTTACACACACGCCTCTGAATGCCGTATTTGACTAAATGCACATGAATAGTAATGACACACAAAGTGTTTTGGCTCTGTATTGCGCAGCGTACATGGGAGTATTTCAATAGGTTGTGTAAATGCAGCCTTGACAGTCAGCACTGCACACTGGGTAATGTAACGGTCTGGAATCTTGTGGTTACAATGAGAGATCCCTCCGATGTGATCCGTATTGACAATAGAAATGTGTGCATTCTCCCCAGACACTGGTGAACTCAGAGAATACACAACACAATTGTATCCATGTTCAAAGCTTCATTATACTGCACAATAAACAGTGTGACCGATGAGGAATTCATGACTCAAGAACTGTGTTCCTGTTCCTCCTCTTCCTCCCTACTTCCTCCTCATCGCCCTCCTTCCTCTCAGTGTCAGCTGTCTGGGGAGAGAGCAAGAACACAGGTAATACAAGCTGCTGCCTGCAATCTGTACATACTGAGCCGTGCACTGTATACTGAGCCACACACTGATACACAGCCACACACTGTATACACTGAGCCACACACTGTAGGGTGTACATTCTGAGCCATATGCTGTATGTACTGAGCCACACACAATATGCTATACACACTGTATGCTGTACACACTGAGCCACATGCTACATGTTTTATAAGATGAGCCACACTCTATGCTATACAGTATATACTGAGCTACACACTGTATGCTGTTTATACTGAGCCATATCTTAGATTGTAAGCTCCCAGGATCAGGGCCCTCCTATCCCTCTTGTATTGAACTGTATTGTTGCTGTATTGTCTGCCGTTATATTGTAAAGTTCTGAGCAAACTGTTGGTGCTATATAAATCCTGTATATATATAATATAATAATATAATAATAATAATAATATAAATCCTGTATAATAATAATAATAATAATATATAAATCCTGTATTATAATAATAATATATAAATCCTGTATAATAATAATAATAATAATAAATAATAATAATAATAATAATATATAATCCTGTATAATAATAATAATAATAATAATAATAATAATATATAAATCCTGTATAATAATAATAATAATAATAATAATAATAATATATAAATCCTGTATATAATAATAATAATATATAAATCCTGTATAATAATAATAATAATATATAAATCCTGTATAATAATAATAATAATAATAATAATAATAATAATAATAATAATAATAATAATAATAATAATATATAAATCCTGTATAATAATAATATATAAATCCTGTATAATATAATAATAATAATCTTGTATGCTGTACACACTGAGTCACACACTGTATGCTATACATACTAAGCCACACACTGAATGCTGTATACACTGAGCCATGTGCTGTATGCTGTACACAGTGAGTCCAATGCTATACACACTAAGACACATGCTGTATAGCATATATAGTATGTATAGCAATGTATGCTATACATACTAAACCATACACTGCATACTGTATACGCTGAGCCATGTGCGGTATGCTGTAGACAGTGAGTCAAATGCTGTACACATTGATCCACATGCTGTATACTGTGCACACTAAGCCACATGCTGTATATGATGAAACACACACTGCATGCTGTTTATACTGAGCCATATCATGTATGCTATACACACTGAGCCATATGCTGTATTCTTTATATGATGAGATACACTCTGTATGCTGTACACACTGAGCCACACGCTGTATGCTGTTTACACTGAGCCATGTGCTGTACACAGTGAGTTAAATGCTGTACACACTAAGCCACATGCTCTATATGATGAGCCACACACTGCATGCTGTTTATACTGAGCCATATCTTGTATGCTGTACACACTAAGCCACATGCTGCATGCTTTATATGATGAACTACACTCTGTATGCTGTTTTATACTGAGCCATATATTGAATGCTGTACACACCAAACCACACACTGCATGCTGTATACACTGAACCATGTGCTTTACACAGTGAGTCAAATGTTGTACACACTAAGCCGCATGCTGTATATGATGAGCCACACACTGTATACACTGAGCCACACACTGCATGCTGATTATACTGAGCCATATCTTGTATGCTGTACACACTGAGCCACACACTGTATGTTTGTTTGCACTGAGCCATATATTGTATGCTGTACACACTGAGCCACACACTGTATGTTGTTTGCACTGAGCCATATCTTGTATGCTGTACACACTGAGCCACACACTGTATGTTGTTTGTACTGAGCCATGTCTTGTATGCTGTACACACTGAGCCACACACTGTATGTTGTTTGTACTGAGCCATATGTTGTATGCTGTACACACTGAGCCACACACTGTATGTTGTTTGTACTGAGCCATATTTTGTATGCTGTACACACTGAGCCACACGCTGTATGCAGTATTTTCTTTTTTTCAGTGTGTACTGTGCTGGGGTTACACTCTTCACTTCAGTATGTGTCAGTGTTCAGTTAATTCTGTTCAGATTCATATTATTATTATTATACAGTATTTATATAGGTCTAAAAGGTTTGCTCAGCGCTGTACATTATAGTGGGGGACAGTACATGAGACAATACAGTAACAATACAATACACGAGGGGTCAAGGGCCCTGCTCATTATGACTGTATTTATATTGTAGTAATGTTGTCAAGGTTTCTTTTACTATACAAAAATATACCAAAATAGTGTGACGCCAATCATACAATGTTAATACAATATACACGCAGTCATGTGTTATGTAACTAGAGAAAATAACACCATTGGCTTCAGGGAGATCAATGTGCCAGCTGGTAACACTCCAGGGTGGAGCTTGCAGGTTTCCATCATATTCTGCACACACTGCCAGGCCAGAAAACCATTACTGGCAGTCATCCAGGGAAAAAAAAAACAGCTCTGATAAACCAAGGCAAGGCTCCAATCATAGACTGGGTGTTATCTGAGGTCTCTGGAAACTGATTCAATGTTGTAGAGGATACTGGCCTCCATGTCCAATAACAACCCCATCTATTCCTAATCACTACTGTCCCACAACATTGGCAGATTACTTATATTGATGTCCCATATTTTTATTCTGGGCCTGATCAAAGCACTGATGTCCTGCACTGATCTCCACTGTGTTTTTTTTTTTTTTTTCTGCGCTGATGTTCTCTGTGAGACTGATGTCCTGCTTTGGTCTTCTCTGCTAATTTCTTGCCTGCAATGATCTCTACCATACTGCTGCACTGATCTCCTCTTTCAGCTTCCTGCACTTGTCTCCTCTGTCCAGCTCCCACACTGATCTGTCAAATTCTGCCACTGAATTTCTCCGTCTCCTGCACTCACCTCTTCTCTCATACTGCACTGCTCTGCTATGCCTAGCAACAACATTCTCACATTTTCCAGAACAGTTCTCTATCTTATGTACTGATCTTTTTTGTCTTTTTCCTCTTCATTAATGTCCCACATTATATGTCTTAGCCTCCATTTCCATGCTTTATGTACCTCCATCCGCTTGCTCTCATCTATAGCTCACCATCTTTGGTCAACTGTCCATATCCAACTATCCATATTCTTCTTTCCATGTCCCACAACTTTCCTTGACCCTGTACATACCATTGTTCATGACCATCCACCATCTATGTTCCACCAGCCATGTCTTGCAATTCATCTCCTACAGTTCATGCTCCATTTTGTTGACTCAAAATCCATGTCCAAGCTGCCTTGATCTTCTACTATGAAACTGTCTTCATCCATGCTGGGGTTTGGGCTGTCTTCCTACCACTGATAAAATATTTTACATCAGATAATCTTGGGTGTATTCCAGAAGCAACATGGCATCCTACAGTGACATTTTGGATCGTCTCAGGCGCAGCTTCAGTGAAGGAAAAACCCGACCTGCACAGTACAGGGTGGCACAGCTAGAGGCTCTTGGTCGATTCTTGGATGAGAACAAGACAGAACTAGTCCAATGTCTGAAGAAAGATCTGAATAAGGTGAGATAACGGGGTCTATAATGATAACTGGTAGGGGCAATTTTCAAATTCACTGATAAGTCTTTCCGCAAGTCCACCCTCAAAGTGGGCCTGTTGTCCCAGTACAAGTTTTTGGCAGAGTTTGTTGCTCTAAAGGTAGGGAGTGGAAGTATAGTGCAGGCAGATATTGCAGGCACCAATTTTCTCAGTAGGAGCAACAGTGATTAGGATTTGTCCTCTAACCTGTTCAACTACGTGTTCCCTCAAACAATGGAAGATGTGATAGGGCCTACTACAGACATGAGATAACTGTCCAATCCTGCCAAATCAGGCAACTGTCATTCTGTGTCCAGCAAATGTCAGATTGTGGCAAGTGCTCGGCTGGTGGGGATGAGTTGGCAAGTGCGTTTTTTTTTTTTTTTTTTTAATTTTCGAGTCTTGTAGACTTGCATTGAGTTAGAAGTTCACTGTGAAACGTTCATTAGTTTAGAATGTTTGACCGCAAACCAAACACAGAGGTGTTTGGCCCATCACTGTTGGTCAAACACTCCTCAAATATGTCTGTAGGAATGAAGAATGAATGATGGTTGTGGACACCTATTGATAAATGGTGAACACCCATATTGACCTGTTTGGAACCAGCTCAATGTTAAAATGTACCTGTCATTGCCAAAATAACTGTGTTGCCATTTCTTTAGAGCTTTCATTGTAATTCTATATTCACTAACTAGTGAGTCAGCTATCTGGCTCAAGTATGCAGGATGACCCTTGTTTCTTATCAATGGCTCACCTGGTAGAAAATGTAATGGGTGAATGGACCTGTTTGATTGTGGTGAACACCATCCTTTAATGAATAGCTCATTATTGCCTCCTGGGTATGAGCATTTCTCTAGTTGTCACCTGATTGTCATGCTGTATGGCAGCTTTTCTGTTTAAGAGCCTGTATCAACCGACTTTCATTTGTTTCAAGATGCTTTTGCATTCCCATACAGGTCTATGGGAATGCAAAACACACTGGAAGCAGATCAAATGCAGGTCAGAAGGAGGACAACTGCAGGTCAAATACACCTATCAAGGAATTCTGGATGATCTCAGAAGTGTTGACACAGGCCCTATTATTGGACTGTTTTAAACTGGTAATCCCAAGGGTCTTCTCTCATTTTTCTAGTCACCATTTGAAGGGGAGATCACGGAACTGAGCATGGTGAAGAGTGAGATTAATCTGGCAATCAATAGTCTGAGCTCTTGGATGAAAGATGAACCTGTCTCCACAAATATGGTGAGGCCTTGACAATTTTTTTATGATGTACCTCCGATATCTGCTCAATGGTATCATACTGTCTGTTGATGAAGGCTGATTGCTCTTTCTTTCCCTACAGGCCATGTATTTAGATACAGCATTTATTCGAAAGGAGCCATTTGGAGTGGTGCTTATTATCTCCCCCTGGAATTACCCTGTCCAGCTGACTCTCATCCCCCTGGTTGGAGCCATAGCTGCTGGTAAGTTTTGTCAGTGATAGATGCCCATAACCCCTGCTGGTCAGATGTCTGCAGGTGACACTATACTGTCTTGTTTGAGAATGGTGGCAAAGACAGCACCAGTTCATGTAGCAGTCAGTGTAAGGTTAGTGCAAACCTAAACAACCTGCAATTTTAATCTCTGGCATGGACCATAATAAAAGTCTTTAACAACATGGTGACATTAAATCCTCCAATTTCGATACTGATATCAATAAGTGGCACTGTTCCTTCCACTGACACCACTGATGGGGCACTATTTCTCCCACTGACATCAACGATGGGACATTATTCCTACCACCAACACCGAAAATGGGGCACTATTCCTGCCACTGACACCAACATTAGGGCACTGTTCCAACAACTGACAGCAACAATGGGGTGCTATTCCTTTCAATAACACAAATTATAGGGCACTATTCTTCCCACTGACACCATTGATGGGGTATCATTTCTACCACCGTCACAAACTATTCCTGCCACTGATACCATTGATGGAGCACTATTTCTCTTACAAACACCAATGACACCCCTATTCCTACCACTGACACCAACAATGGGGCACTATCCCTGCCACTTACACCAACAATTGGGCACTATCCATCCCACTGACATCATTGATGGGACACTATTACTCTCAAAGACATAAATTATGGGACACTAATCCTTCCACTGACACCAATAAATGGCAATACACTTTTCATTGATACTAATTGGGCACTATCCCTCCTTCTACTGAATACAGGCATACATTTCTTACTAGATAGAGAGAAAACAGGTGGCGCACACACCTAGTGCATTATCCAAGATTTATTGTAGGAATGAAAGAATAATAAAAACATACTCACAGACGAAGCATGTATCTAAAAAGCATAGAAAAATGACGATGGCCACAACGGCAGGCAAGGTGTTCTCACTGTCAGTGCGGTCAAATGGCTGATGCGTTTCAGGGACAAATCCCTTTCCTCAGAGCTGATGACCAACCTCTGATGCTGATATATGATGAATGGAAAGTAAGAGCCTTGCTGTTGATGCCTCAGGCAGCCATTTGACCGCACTGACAGTGAGAACACCTTGCATGCCGTTGTGGCCATTGTCATTTTTCTATGCTTTTTAGATACATGCTTCGTCTGTGAGTATGTTTTTATTATTCTTTTCACTCCTACAATAAATCTTGGATAATGCACTAGGTGTGTGCGCCACCTGTTTTCTCTCTATCCAGTGGCTGATTTCCCCATCTGAGGAGGGCTGCACCCATGAAGCATTTCCTTTGGTTGTCGCTGTCCTGGTTCCCTTGGCTTCCCTTTTGGCTGTGCATATTCTGAGGCGCTGGAGAGTACATACAATACATTTCTTACTCCCATAGACAACCAAGCTGAGTAAATATTTATTCCCACTTATGCCAGGGCATTTTCTACTCTGACTGACTACAATTCGGCCCTCCAAAGATTGAAGAACCATAATCTGGATCTTTGTTTAGAAAAATTTGCAACCTGTGTTTTGGTAGCACACCCTTTGTTAAAAAATGTCTGAAATCCGTCGCTTCCTGTAACCATCAATCAGTTTTTTCCACCTCTCTACTGGAATTTTGGACCACTCTTCATTCCCCAATTGCTCCAGGTCTCAGATTGGAAAGGTTCCATTTCCAAAGTGCTGTTTTGAGATCTCTCCACAGGAGCTCTATGGGATTGAGATCTGGACTCATTGCTGGCCAGTTCAGTCCTCTCCAGCGCTTTGTCTGAAACCATTTCTGGGTGCTTTTGATGTGTGCTTTGGGTTATTGTCCTTTGTGACACTGGGCCCTACATTGCACCCCAGAAGTCTTTGGTAGTCTTCAGTTTTCATAATGAGAATGCCATGCATACGGTCAAAACATCCAGTGACAGAAGCAGCAAAGCAACACCAAAACATCAGTGATCCCCCCACCATGTGTGACTGCAGGGGGCTGTATTCTTTTTTTTAAAGGCATCATTGCTTTTTCTAGTAGAATGATGGACTTTACCAAAAAGCTCTAAGTTTGTTTAGTCTGTCCACAGTACATTCTCCCAAAAAGATTTTAGCTTCCTCGGGTAAGTTTTGGAAAACTCCAATCTGGCTTTTTTATGACTCTGTGCCAGCAGTGGGGTCCTCCTGGGTCTCCTCCCATAGCATCCCTTTTCATTCAGATGGTGATGTATAGTGCGAGCCAACACAGTTGTACCCTGAAGATCAGCTTGAATTTGTCTGGAAATTGACTGAGGTTCTTTAGCCACCATTCAAACAATTTATAACTGCAATCTTTGATCAATTTTTCTCTCTTTTGTTCATGTCCATGGAGGTTAGCTACAGTGCCATGGGCTGTAAACTTCTTGACAATGTTGTGTGCAGTGGACACAGAAACATTAAGATCTATGGAGATGGACTTGTAATCTTGAGATTGTCCATGCTTTTCCACTGTTTTTGTTCTCAAATCCTCAGACAATTCTTTGCTGTTATTTCTCTTCCCCATGCTCCATGTGGCACACAACAGAAAGGTTGTCAATTTTTCATCATTTAAACTGGTTGCAGGTGTGATTTCTGTATTTTCAGCACCTGTTAATTGATACAGGTGAGTTTAACTACAAATTACATGAGCATCACAAACTTGGAATGCAATTATTTCTTAAGGTGCCAATAATGTTGTCCATTTAATTTTTTGGGAGGATTGAGTCAGATGTGGCTTTTTGTTTCTGGGTGAAGTGGTGCATTATCTCCAAATGTTTTTGTTGTTTTATTTGGGGATAAACAACTTGGATAGGATATAGGGGTATATGGGATGGCCAATTTGACTTGAAACTAATAAATCTGAGGACAAACTTTACAAAATGTAGGATCCTAGACTTTCTACCCCCTCAAGAGTAGCAACAGTCTATTCACGCACCAGTAACAAAGTCTCTGTGAGGAGCTCTAGGTCCCCTCTAAGTGGACCTCTTCAGACCCCAGATAGAAACTGCCCATTCACCTGGCTGTCTTTCAAGAGTATCCCGGAGCAAGAGATGCTAGAACAGATTTAAAACCTTGTCCCAGGGAGAACTGATTGGGTATAGCACCTAACAGCCCTCTCTCTTGTAGGCCTTGGGGGTGTAGAGGTACTCACATTGTCCTTGTGTCCTGTAGCTTTAGATAAACTGCTTTCAGGCTCTCTGCGGGGCTGGTTTCTTTCCAAGCTTGCAGACTGTCCTTCCCTAGTGGACTGTAGGGCAGTGGAACTCCCTCATTCAACTTCCTTCTCCTCTCCTTCCGACCTCCATCCTGGAGGCAGAACCCCCCCTTCTCCGGGGTCCCTTCCCAGGCTACACAGCAGCACACCTCAGTACTCCACTCCACTCCCCTGGCTGGCCATGGTCTCTCATATTTATGGGCCAGTCTACCACATTGCCAGACCTACCTGCATGGAATTGGTCAGACTTCAATGAATATGCAGATCAGCTCCATCTGGCATCCACCACTGGCTTTTAGAAACTTCTCCAAGCATCTAGACCCGGGGGGAGGTACCAGAGGACTGACTTGTATAGCCCTCCAGCCTGACCTGAAATAAACCCTCTGACTCATATCCAGGCTTCTAACAAGCCTCTAACTACATTCACAAACTCTGCACACAAGAAGGCGCTATATCACCTTCAGTTTTAAAACCACTCTTAAAAAAGCCTTTTGCATCCATTCAAGTTCTTAATAATATTTGAAGCCCTGATGAAGAGGGAGGGTTTTTTTGGCCCCAAAACACATTGGTATTTTATTTTTTGAACCATTTTGGATTCACTTGATCAATTGCTCTGGCACTCATTCTGTTTAATTTTTGCTTTGGCTAAATGGTAGCTTACTGTGTTGTGAGCTGCCTATTAAGGGGACTACAATTGGGAAGGTGTTGGTGCCAAACTGTGCCAAAGTCCCCACACTGCTTCTTCTCGGACCCACATGTTGTTGAGTAACCCTCCGCCATATTGTGTCATATTCCTGAAACCTGCTCAAGACATCCCCAGCCTGAAGTCTTCATGTTTGAGAATAAAGGACACATGATGCATTGTGAGCTAACCCTTAAAGCGGAGTTCCACTCACTCTGTAAAAAAATAAAAGTCAGCAGCTACACAAATTGTAGCTGCTGACTTTTAAAAAACAGCCACTTACCTGTCCCACGTACCCACGGTGCCCCCCACCGCAGCCCGTTTCACCAGCCATCCTGTATTCCAGGTGCTGGCATCTTCAGTGTGGGCACCTGCTGTGCCAGCTTGCGGGTTCAAAGCCGGGTGCCCACTGCACATGCGCTAGTAGCTCTGCGGTTCCTGAGTGGCTCCATCGTCTTCTGGGACCTGTCACGTGTCCCATAAGACTACGGGGAGGGAGGGTAGGAGGACAACTTCCGCTTCCGATCGCCTAGGTGCCAATCCTTATTGGGGAGAAGGGGACCAATCATTAAAGCGGAACTTCCCTTTTTGGGTGGAGTCTGCTTTAATTTCAACTTTCCCCTTACAATACCACAATGGGAACAGAGCCATCTAGTGGAAGACAAGCTAACTGCACCTGCCAACACGCCTAACCAGCGCCAGTTTGCTCTTTGAATAATTATTCTCTTTTATACTGCCTTACATGAATAGGGGCTGAAATTCCAGAACCTCTTACTTTTTCTTTTTTTAAAACTATATACATACATGGAGTTGCGCTTGTGGGGTTTCCAAAAATATGGAGAGAGATGTACATGTAGCACTATAGCACAAAGCTACTGTATATGATTTTATTGATATTTTACTGTTAACCCAATTCTTCTTAAAGCCTTTTTAAAAACTTTGTTTGCACTGGAATATTATGACATTTCCTAATTCATATAACTAATGACAGTACATGAAATACATTCCAGGTGCATTCAAATAAAATGTGTGTAAAGTCTTACAATTTGCTTTCTTTAGAAAGTAGCCACAACCTGCAGAGAATGACCCTTACTCTCTGTGGATATGCAGTGGTGTCTCTGTAGAGGTCCGATGCACACCTTGACCTATAGTTCTGCCATATGCAAATCTCAAGCTCTAGCTCCCACTCAGCAGGGGGGGTGTGTCAGATATCCACAGAGAGACCACTGCTTCCACACAGAGAGTAAGGGTCTTTTTCGGCAGCTTTCTTGTAGGGGACAGGCTTTTCTGCTGGCTTGATAAACTGAGCTTTTTGTGTCTTTGCAGGCAACTGTGTCATCATGAAGCCATCCGAAATCAGCCAAAACACAGAGAAAGTCCTGTCTGAAGGTCTTGCCCGATACCTTGATCAGGTAATTATTAGAAAACATACACCAGGAGATGAGAGCAATGGTGAGAGGCAGGTGCAGACTACATTATCCAGTGCAAGTGGCACTCGAGCGTAGCAGCAATGCAGCTGGGGGAGAAAGTCGGGAGAAAATGTTTTTTTCAACTGGAGTAGTGATCCAGTTTCCAGTTAGATGCACTGGATTCAGGTGATGCTGGTAGCAATCTTGGGTCACACAGAGTTATTTTAGGTCCCTATATATTCAAGTAAGTTGGTGGAGCGCTAAATGGTAATACACTTTAATATACACAATATCATGCCATTTCAAACATATGTGGATACGTGGTATCACCTTAAGGTGATTATTAGTGATATAATTAGTTCAATATGATTGTGTGGATCATGAAGAGATCACAATTCCAAGTGTGTGCACGTCCTGATCCGGGAGTGACAACAGGTACAAGCCAAAGGAATGGATAAAAAAAAACGCACTCACCAGATATGCGTTTAAAATTCACAATAATTAATCCTGCGTCACCAGGCTATAGATAGGTCATCAGGTCTCGGGTCAGGATACCATACGAATCCCCATCCAAGCTCCACAGAAAAGGTCACCAGAATCCGCTACCAGGTATCACCATCAGGGTCATCTTTTCTCCAGATGGGCACTGTGAATGATGACACTCACACAGAGTGCCCAATAAGAGACCACATAGTGTGATATTGTGCTTGTTCAAGGATAATGGGTGTAATGATAAATTTCAAAATCTCAAAAAAGTTCCAAAAAGTTACTGACCATATATTCAGGATGGCTGTGGTTAGATGTCCAGGGGGGCTGCAGCAACTGGACATCTAACCACAGCCATCCTGAATATATGGTCAGTAACTTTTTGGAACTTTTTTGAGATTTTGAAATTTATCATTGCACCCATTATCCTTGAATAAAAGGTACCTTAAGCAATATCACACTATGTGGTCTCTTATTGGGCACTCTGTGTGAGTGTCATCATTCACAGTGCCCATCTGGAGAAAAGATGACCCTGATGGTGATACCTGGTAGCGGATTCTGGTGACCTTTTCTGTGGAGCTTGGATGGGGATTCGTATGGTATCCTGACCTGAGACCTGATGACCTATCTATAGCCTGGTGACGCAGGATTAATTATTGTGCATTTTAAACGCACATCTGGTGAGTGCGTTTTTTTATCCATTTGTTTGGCTTGTACCTGTTGTCACTCCCGGATCAGGACGTCCACACACTTGGAATTGTGATCTCTTCATGATCCACACAATCATATTGAACTAATTATATCACTAATAATCACCTTAAGGTGATACCACGTATCCACATATGTTTGAAATGGCATGATATTGTGTATATTAAAGTGTATTACCATTTAGCGCTCCACCAACTTACTTGAATATATATGTACTATTGGAGGTTTTTTCTTGGTTGCCTTTCGGTGTATCAGCTGCTTATTAACATAATTTGTTGTGTATATATATATATATATATATATATATATATATATATATATATACTTTCTTTTCATTTTATGGTAGCACTCACTAAAAAATCTTTTTATTATATCTTATTTTTAGGTCCCTAACCTCAGGTATTAGCTCTTTTTCATGGAAGTAGATAGTGTAGGGATATGATACCCCTCTATCAGGGACAGCACTAGCAGTAGGGAAAGGTTCAGGTGGAGTAGGGCCTATGTCTACTTCTTCAGGAAACTCTCCTTTGGGTTGGACTGGCCAGGCCGCACTCCACTCTTCGTGACAAACGTGCTCTGCAGTTCTAACCCACACACCGCTAACTCTGCTCTGAACTGTTGTAAGTCTCCAGTTGGGTGTGCTTTCCTGCCGGCTTGTTTGAACTGTTTGGAAAGTTCTACAATACATTGTTGTTGGCAAACTGGGACTTTCTGCCGCTGCACCATGCTGCACCTAACCAACAAGGGGACATGTCTTAATGTCATTACACACTGGTGTCCACTCCCTCTACATCAAGGCAGAGAGGTCTCTCTAGGCAAACCCGGGCATCAAACAATCTGGATTATTCAATACCACTTTTTTTTTAATATCTTGATTTTTAACCACTTTACAACTGTTCTATAGCCGAATGACAGTGCAGTTGTTCAGTTCTGGGAGATGCTGACTAGCTCTTCAATAAAGACTGTGTTGCAGTGAAGGCGTGTAAATAGTTCCAGGAAGTACTGATCTCTGACTCTGGATGCAAGTCTATGTGAAAATGTGTGTTGCCTGGCTGTGCAGGACTATAGGGGAAACCAATACTCTAGGGACTCCTAAGGGGCACTGAACGCCAACAGATCTTACCATAAACATGAACATTTGGAATGGCTGAGGGTGATATTTATATCTACAGAGGAGTAAAACCCTGAAAGGGATCTTGCATGGTTGTCCTTTTTTTTGGAGAAAGGAAAAAAACTAGATCAACAAAGTGAAATTGATCCTGCCAGTTTGGTATTACCCTGTTAGGGATCCGGGGTATGACCAGAAATGTGTGGACTAACACAGGGAAGTAGCAGGCTTCAGGAACACAGGCGTAGTCAGGGCTGGAGAATTGGAATGGTCAGGCAGGCCGTTAGGTACTGTCAGGCACTGCCCGGCGGGATCTCTAGTACCCACAGAAACAGGATTCCCCAGGGAGCGGAGTCTAAGCCCCAGTCTGCCTTTTCACCAGAGCCCCTGATGGTGGGGATGGACTTGGCGCAGGACTGAGACCAGGTCGCGGCCCCTGAGTGCACCCAACTGTGGTAGAGGGGTCCACCGAGGGTATGTACTGTGGGAAAGCCTGACGTGAAGAGGCTGGCAGACCTGGTAACAGTGACAGATCCGTGCGGGATGGATGGATCATCTGGGTAGCGTCAGGCGTAGTCAGGCAGGCCAAGTCAGCAACGTGCGGGCAGCAAGGTACCGGAGGAGCAGGCAGAGAATAGTCAGGGTCACAAGCCGGGTTCAGTAACTCACAGGCAGCGCGGTACAGAGGATCAGGCAGAAGGATGGTCAGGCAAGCCAGGGGTTCAACAGGAGATGGTCAGCAGAGGTCAGGAACAAAGCAGGGTCAGCAACTAGGCAGATAAGCAGGAACACAGGATACCAGGTAGAGGGGCTCATGGGAAACATTACACCAAGGCCCTGATCACAGGCCTGGTCATTCCTTAAATGCACCTCCTGCAATCAGTCCCAGGTGTTGGCTGACTACAGGAGTGAGCTTCTGGCTGCTGAGAGCACCCGCTGGTTAGCCCTGGTACTGCAGCCCACACAGCAGGTGAGTCCCACCACCAGTGCTGAGTCCATTCCTGACATATCCTGAGGATGACCACCCTGAAGTCAGGAACAAGTACAGATTCTGGTTATGGCTGTAGCAGGTAAAATTGGTCAAAGATACAGGAGCCCTGGGTGAGGGTAGTAGGACAGCAGCCCCGAGTAAGGATGGTAGGACAGGGACCCAAGGTGAGGGTGGTAGGACAGGAGCCCTGTCTGAGGGTTGTAGAACAGGGACCCAGAATAGACAGGTGTGGGCCTGTACAGCATTAAGCTGTAACTATAGGCTGAGTGAGTCAGAAAATTCCAGAGAGCAGGAAGTTGGGCTCCTTTCCTACCACCTTCTCTCTGGACATTCTTTCTCAGTATATAATGGAATGAAAATTCACATAGTCATCAGTCACCAGCAATGCATTGGTGGAAACCAGCAGATCTTACCATATGTGAACATTGGGACTGGCTGAGGGTGATGTGTGTGTGTGTGTATATATATATATATATATATATATATATATATATATATATATAAATCTCTGGGGGCGTGGTCTGCCGCGGCTGGAAGATGGCCGCATAGTGAGGGAGCTCCCGCCGGCCGGATCCCTCTGAATCGCCGCACTACGGAGCGGGGTGAGAGAGAGCTGCCACGATATGGGGAAGCATGACCGGACCTCATCCGGTGCCCGATCGCGCTCCCCACGGAGCCAGGGGGTGCAGGGGAGGCACATACAGGAGCTCTTCCGCTCCCAGCAGCACAGGGACGGGCCGCAGCCATCTCCTTCTCCTTCTCCTGCTGCTTCCCCTCCCCCCCCCTCTCTACAGCTGCTGACACTATTAAACCTCCCTGCTCTGATATGCAGGCAGCCCCAGACACAGTGCCTCAGCATGATGTCCCCCCTGCCTCACAATCTCTGTCCCTAAGGGATCTTCAGGCTGTGGCAGCTGACATTAAGGCCACCCTGACAGCCACACTCACTGCAGCATTGGGGGAGCTGCATAATGATTTAAGGGCCATGGGTTCGCGATTGGAACACGTGGAATCCGCATCCAGGCAAACTGGATCCGCCATTATTGATTTACAACATCAGTCATCGGTACACGCTTCCACTATCAGAGAACTACACAGGCATATTGAGGATTTAGATAACCGTGGCCGCAGGCGTAATATCAGAATCCGCGGTCTCCCAGAATCAGTAGAACATGCCGATATTCCCAAAGCAGCAATGGCCATATTCAATAACCTCCTTGGTCGCCCGCCAGTAACCCCGATTGACATCGAACGTGTGCACAGAGCGATCCGCCCCAGGAGGGGAGACGCAGACCCACCCAGGGATATCGTTTGCTGCCTAGTCAGCTTCCCGCTCAAAGAAGATGTCCTCCACTGTGCTAGAGACAGAGGGCGCCTTTTATATGAGGGGACAGAAATACAACTTTTTCAGGACTTATCCAGCACCACCCTACGCCAGCGGCGCGCTTTACGCCCTCTTCTGGATACGCTACGTTCGCGTAGCATTCCGTACCGATGGAGGTTCCCCTTCTGTCTCTCTGTACAGGTTGGTGGTCGCTCTCTCACAACCTGCGAACCCCTGAAGAACTGCCCTCTTTCTGTGCCTCCATAGACATCCCGCTGATTGACCTGCCTGATTGGTTACAGCTCCATGAGACTACCGCTATCCCAGGATTTGGTGGCCGAGGATAGTGCTATGGAATGGCGCGGCCAGTCTTATCGTAGAGGGCG